TTTTATTTTTTATTATTTTTAAATATAAAACAAAATAACCTAAAAACTTTTTTGACAGCTGAATGTCAAACGATGCTGTCAATTTCTTTTCATACAGACCTGTCACTTTTCACACAGAATAGTATATTCTGTAACAAGTTTGGAATACAGCATATTCCGCTCGAGTGAAGAGTTTGTCACGTTTGACGGTTTCACGAGAGCAGAATATGCAATTCCAAACGTGTTTCAGACTATACTTTTTCTACGTTTCCAAAAAATACCATAGAAAAATAATTTAATTGGAAGAAAGTGAGGTTGGATCGGTCTAAAATTTTATTATAGTGTTTATTCTGTCATCAGATGATAGAATATTTCAGTTTGTAATACTTTACGGAATATATGTCATTCCATAGATAAAAGTGATATTAGAAGGGTCAAATTCCGTAATAGGAGTAGAAAAATGTCATTTTACATTCGTGTTTTGCCTTGCCAATGAAAAGATTCATTTTCTAAGCAACGATGCCATCATGAAAAGTAACTTTTACACAGTGGTCGTAGAAAAAATTATTAAATTAATTATTAAAATTTATAATGGGCTGCTTCGGTTTTGGAAATACTGCGTTGCCAAGTTTTACAAACTTATAAAGTAATATAACATATACTTAGATTATAGTTGGTTTTAGTTTCTGTTTTAAGTTAGTATCTTAGTTAGTTTCTTACTACTTCAAAACTTGTTTGAGTGTTGTCCTTTTAGAAGGGCAGTAAAAGTTAAATACAGGGTGAGTCTTTAAACTTGAAACATTTTCTCCTAAAATGACTATCACATAAACTAAAAAGTAAAGCAAAGTCACCTTTGTGGCTATAGCTAAATCGATAAAGAAATTTTAAAAGAATGAAATTTAATATTTCCCCCACAGAAAAAAAAGTGGTGTGGTAAATTCTTATTCTTATTCTCTCCAGTGAGCTTTACATCGGCGATATGAAACAATCGAATTCCTGCCCCAGCATCAGGACCGTTCCTTCGATAGGATGCAGCGAATTCCAGGAGAATCCTTACAAACATTCCGTATCCTTGTCGAATTTAAATTGGCAACCTGCTGTGCTTCCCCTAATAACATTTAATCCTTAAGAATTGCTCCGATCGATCCGCCTAATTATTATTTAAACAACATCAGAAGTGGGATAGCAATTTCCAAACGATTTAAGGCATACATGTTATGTATACATGAATATGCGAGCTTTTTGTGGCAGTTGATTGATAATGTTTTTTGAGCCCGCTCGCATTCTAGATTAATATTCTGGAACGAATAACAACATATTTTATGCGAGTCTCACGTCCCTCTTTTCATTAATCAATGTCCCATTACAGAGAAGAAACGGGGCCGCTATCTGATTCAACATCCAAAATAAAATACAGACAAAACATCGGTACAACCGGGAATAATAAAATTACCGAAATTAGTTGAGCAATAAAATATTTCTGTCAGCCAGGGTGTTTTAATCCAACACCTTTTATTTTTGCTTCCCTTTATTTTATTTTAAACATCTTTCTGACATTTAATTAGACACAAGCGTAAAGAGAATGCCGGCAAACATTTAAACAACATAAATTTTATTCAAAAAGTTTTTGTAATATCTTTTATTTTTTAGTTTTACACAATTAAAACGAGTAGATGAGACATATGGCCAGCGCGGTCCTAATTGGTGAATTCAGAGTAACAGCGAAGACGTTGAAAAAGTGCTTTATATTTATAAAACGCATCTATTCTGTGATAAAACCTATAGATGGTTAGCAAATTAATTAAATGACAGGGGACTGTTATAAGATTTGTAGATAAATAATTATTTACAACTGTGTTAACTCTTCTAAAGTAAAACTCATGACCTTGACTTATTCTTATTTGTAATTTATATTAATACTTATTTGAAGGACATAGGGAGTTTAATGCAAGAACTAACCTATACTTATTTGGATATAATTTCAATGTTAGGTGCAAGAAAAACTATCATATTATTTTAAACCCTCAAATAAAATATACACTATGCTTAATTTAAGAATAAGTATTTTTTGATACAAATGTTATATTCTTGGCGATACAATATTTACTTTTGTATTAAATATAAGGTATCTTTATGTAAGTTAAGCAATAATTGTTTCAAATATTGTTTATTCTTTTTTTAACTTTTGCTCGACTTTAAATAAAGGTTAGGATATAATGGCCATGTTTATTTTAAAAGAGTGGATTTTGCTATCTCTTTTTTTCTATTACTGAAAAAAATTATGTTGGTCTATAGCATTGTCTTTATTACATAATTTTTTACATTGTTTTAAATACCTATATATATAACGGACATTTTTTGTGCCATATTGGCCTGTTTAACCAAAATTTTTATTCGTACCTATAATCTAGAGGTAAAATAAACACAATTGTTTTTATGTGATTCTTCGGCAACCTAATATCACTCCAACATACATTTGGTGGTAAATTCTATCAAATTCCACTAATTTAGCAGCTCTTTCATAATTCCAAACCAAATATTAACTAACACAAGAAACAATCTTCCAAAATGTCGGACACTAATATTTACTAATCTTAGAATAAATATAATTATATTTATATCCAGTATAGTTTTATATCTTTAAGAATAGAATAGAGGGAATTTTCCAAAATTTGGTCTAATGGATTGTTAATCTAAAATTAAGAATAAGATTATGTCATTTAAAGTCTTTCTTAACATTTAACAGGCAAGAATAAGATCTGCTTGTTTAAAGAAAGATTAATATTTAGTTTAATGTTAGTTTTAGCCTTGACAATATTAGGTTAATCATCTTGTTTCAACTGCTTGATTTTAAGCTAAGAAATAAAATCTTTTTAATTTAATATTTAAAAGAAATTTAATGACTGGAACAGCCTTTGAGAGATACAAATCTATATTACTAAATAAAAATTATAATTCGTTTTTACGTTAAAAGTTTCAGATAAATAAATATTAAATTGGCATTAAAAGTCGTGAAAAAAGGTAAGACAGGCAAACAATTTTAATTATTCATTAACTAAACGTTATTCCAGACTAGCAAAGGAACTTTTAATGAATACTAATAAGTGGTTTATGTACGTTTTATTTTGGCATTAAAATTTAAAAAAAACATTTTTAATCGATATTGCATAAACAACCATAAAAACTAAAGGTTTAGATGGAGAAATATGTTGTGAAAGTAAAAAAATACTTTTCCATTTCGAATTCAGCTACTGGACAACGAAAACAAACTCCTTTAAAGTTTTCTTATAATCTGGTCTGAATTACTTCTGAAAACTAAACTATCGAATATGCGATTTCAGCTGAAAAACCTGCATCTGCCATCTAGGAAGTTCCGGAAGTTAAGAGAGAAAGAGTTTAAAAACTGGCATAAAATTTAACTTTGGAACATGTACAGAGTAATAAATATAAAAATTTTAATATTGACACCAGACCGGGTTAATGTGTCTCTCATAAGGACATCTATGTCTTTTGCTTAGCAAAGACTTTAACTATTATGAAATACGTATATATATATATATATATACGAGGTGTGTTCAGAAAATATCGGAAATTTTCGTTTTTTGAAACAAAAATTTATTTATTCGTCTACATTAATGTTGTCGCCTTCAAAATAGTCCCCATTGGATATTATGCACATGTGCCAGCTCTTCTTCCAATACTCGAAACACTTCTAAAACTCGATCTTTGGGATAGCCTTTAGTTCTTTCAGCGATGCGCTTTTAATGTCATCTATGCTTGCAAAACGACGGCCCTTTAAGGTTCTCTTTATTTTTGGGAATAGGAAAAAGTCAGACTGAGGCATGTCTGGCGAATATGGAGGCTGGGGCATCATTACAGCATTGTTTTTGGCCAAAAATTTTGTTCAAAATTAACAATTTTAGAACAAATTTTGCTGCCACGCGTTTCATACCCAAAACATTCGAAAAAATTTCATGGGATGAGCCAATCGATATACCAACATCATCAGCGACTTCTCTGATGGTTTATAACTATTTCTTCCACTTTTTCCATGTTTTTAACGGTTGTTAATGTACTTGTGCGTTCGGGGCGTACGTCATCTTCAACGTCTTCACGGCCATCTTGGAAACTCTTATACCACTTGTAAACTCTTGTTTTACTTATAGCAGACTCACTATAGGCCTTTGTTAACATTTCACAGAATTGATTTCATTTTTAAGCAAAATTGGATACAAATTCTTTGATCCATTTCTTTTAACGAACGAAAAATCGCCGAGCTCATAAAACACGTCTAACCTTAGCGGCTGCCACAAACAAAGTAAACAATGAAAGCAGCTAAAGTTTTTATCATACTTCGGGGGCATGTATACCAACATAATAAAGAAAATTTTATGACAACCGGACCCTCCGAACCCGCGAAAATTAACAATTCCCGTTATTTTCTGAACACACCTCGTATTTGACTTTACCATATTTTACTAAATTACTATAATGGATATGGATATTAATATTAACTTATTAATTTCAATTTATATAGCTTTTTCAATTTAATTTGAATTTGAAGTATTGTACACATGCGTTTGTAAAATTTAATATATATTTACCCGTTTCACAAATTTAATTACCTAGTAATATTTAAAAGCTTATGCATTAGGTTTCAAAGCTTAAATGTTTATATAATTTTGTGTAATTACAAATTTTGCGGAGTAATCAATTTTCGATTCAATGAAAATTAATTTATTTATATGTATACATATAAATTATTTATTTATCCAATAACCTTTATTTGCTGTAAAAACAGTAGGTCATGTTAGAAAACCGCTTTTCATGGGATTTTTATCAAACTTAATTTAAAAGGTTGTTTGGCTTACCAAGGAGGCCTAAACAAATGCCTTTTATCTCTCTAGCTTTCACAATAAGTCGCCATAGGTCAAACTTATGTAAATATTTGACAAAAAACTATTTGATATGGGTCCACACAGTAAAAGTGCAAAAACTTTTTCCTTTATTAAAATAAATATTTCAAATTCTACATACAATTACAGTAAAATTACTATTATTTTTATTATTATACTATAAATTGCTGTTTTAGATAATTTATATCGTTTTTGTAAATATCATATAATTCATATATTTCTTTCTCGGGTTCCTCATCCCTTTTCTGGATTCTGAAGGTAAATACTAATTCCTTGGTCTGACTTCTGAAATAGTTTGTTGCAAATATCATTAAGTGTGGTATCTCTAGTTTGTAAAGCATTTATAATTTTTAGGCCGGAACAGGATGATTTATATATATGCAATATTTTTTCGGGTGGTATGTTAAAAGTATTTTCCGAATTTATTAATTTTGTTGCCATTAGTTTTGTATGTTCTCTATCATGTATTTAAATTACTGTTATTCTGCAAGATGTCCTGTGACGAAGAAATATTATATTACTTACTCTCTAAAAATGAACAACAGCCATTTGTATACAGGGCATTTAGCAGTCAAATATTAATCGCTGAATCTGAAAATGTCGTCAAAAGTTATAAAGGTAGAATAGTTTTTGAAATTTAATCAATTTTACATATAATATGGAATTGACTATATCTCAAAAACTGCTTAACTTTTATAGTTTTTGACGGTCTTTTCGGATTCAGGGGACAATTTTACATAAGAATTGCCTGGTAAATGTCCGGGATACAAAAAGAGTATGATATTGGACATATGCCCAATAATAGAAATTTACATTTTTTACCAACCAGTAATTGGACACTGGCCATTTTACAGTTTGTTTTCAGAATTAAAATTAAAACGCATTAAAGTGACAATGTTTAAACCACGAGGAACACATTTATACCACACACTGATCTGTACACTTTTTAGAAATATTTTTTATTGTAATTTAAACACAGCCCTGCTCTTAACAAAAAAACAAAAATCTTACCACCAAAGTAACGTGCGAACTTTTTGTCCTATACCTATTGGACCCAAAATAAAGTAGTTCTATATTATTGCCTACTGAGATAATTGTATACAGCGTCATCTAATGATTTGACTTTAAGGTAACTATTTATAGAACGCTTGTTTTTACAGTATTAATGTTAATTGTCCAATAACTAAAAAGTGTCTGATAACTGACTACTTTACCCTACTATGTCCTATATATATATCTAAAGTGAATAGTTTTCGAGTTATTAATTTTTTTAGTTAAAATTTGACCAAAATAGCCTATGAATCTTAAAACATTGTTTAAAATATTCTTTGTCAATTCTTTAACATTTTCAATTTCCTATACTTAGTCCATAATTTAAGAGATATTTAACAATTTCTAACATTTTAAATATTATTTGGTATCAAGAAACCTATGACGGGGGAATTGACGGTATCTATAGATAGTAGATAGATAGTAGATATATATAGTTACCACGTAATCTGCCAATGGCGTCAATTTTTCAGGTCATAATAATTTAACAGAATCTTGTATTTACACATACATGTATTTTTGCGTTTAATTTCGCATGCTCATCTAATCCCCAAATTTGAAATCCGTCACATGACTGGAAGCAAACTTGGCTTAATGAACAGTTAAGGATTTGTAATGTAGCGGGAAATTACTACCTATTCAACGCTAAATTGCTTTCGTTTGAATATGCTGTAATCTAAACAAAATATATCAACGTTTGTTTTGGAAGCTGCCATATTTGTATATTTACACAATAGTTGACAATTGTGACGATAACTTTGTTGGGGAAGCCTTTTTATGAAATGAAAAGTTTTCAGTGTAATTATTTTATCAAGATCATATTCACATGAAATTTAGTCTTCCTAACCTAAACTATCCCAAACTAAATTCTAACTTAGGTTCATAAGATACACCCAATGAAATTGTTATGAGTTGTTCAAGAGAATAATTTCATTAAAGGCTTAATACTAACTATGTAGATAAAAATTACATATGAGAGTTCATTTAAAAAGTGGATTATAAGCGAAAAATGATTGATGAAACGTGTTCGATAATAAATTTGTATTATTACAGGTGATGTAAAAACTGATTATTTTTTAAAAGGGTATTCATTGGACCCCATCAATTCCATAGCATGCACTGCCCTTCCATTGCAATTGAAACTGTCCATTGCTTTCATATCCTCATCATCCAAAGTGAAGTCGAATATGTCGATATTCATTTCAATACGTTTGGGGTTTTGCGATTTGGGAATTGGTATTGCACCCAGTTCCACCAAATATCTGAGTATCACTTGCGAAGTGGTCTTTCCGTATTTTTTCCCTATACTCATAAGTTTCGGGTCGTCCAGGGACACATCGGGGTCTCCAGGTTTTTTCCAGGGGCGTGCTGGCGAGCCGAAGGGGCTGTAGGCTGTGACTTGCACACCTCTGTCCTTGCAATACTTGATCAGCGATTTTTGGTTCAAGTTCGGAGTAACCTCGACTTGATTCATAACGGGTTTTATCCTGGCCGCATCCAGAACCCTTTGTAGCTGCTCGTTGGTGAAATTCGATACACCAATGCTTTTGGCGATGCCCAAGTCGACGCATTCCTCCATTCCCCTCCAAGTGTCTACGAAATCGTGGTTATAACATGCGGCGTTATCGAAGGGGAGGTTGATATTGAAGGGTCCCGATAGTTTTTGTGCCACCGGCCAGTGAATCAGATACAAATCTACATAATCCAATCCGAAGTTTTCCAACGACTGTCTACATGTTGGTACAACCTGTAAGATTAGTGATTTTATCGCTTACACTGTTCAAAATTTCATGACCATTTTAACACCATATCGATACAAACCAAAATGGTGTTAAATATGGTTCGTTGGTCCGGTGTAAATTCAAATACTAAAATGGTGTAAATTTAACTTTCACACAGTATTAAAATAAATTTTACCTGGTGTAAATTGAACTCCTTTTCAGTGTTAAATATTATGTGTTTTTGGTCAAATTAAATCATACTACACAGAAAAAAAGGAAAAAAAAGCAAGTTCCTTGACGCATTACCAGTATATTACCAGTGGTATTATTCCAGAAAACTCGCCAGAGATAATGTTTTTAGTGCGTTCCACCAACTTAAAATACTTCAAGTATTGACAGCTGTTTCCACCTATTTAAGGTCTCTTTAGTATCGAACAACTTGTAGTGTCACACCAAAGCAAAGGACTACCTGAGCTTATATACTCTTCATGTAAGTCAACAGAGGCGAGATTTAAGAACATCACGTGATCCACACCGCCTTTGCCGCGATCGGTACACACTATGCAACCAGGAATGCACGGCAAATTGTTTTAATCGTTTTAACAGAGTGCTTTAGGTTGAAGTAACTCTTATTTTACAAACAACATATTTAGTAAACTGAACCATACAGCGGGTTGGTTTCACTAAAGTTTTCTAGGTTAATTTAACCAATTTAAAAAAAATAAAATAACTATATAGTTTAGTACCGTCAAACTAATCTTAGTTTTTATTAACCTTCCCACAGTTGATTTAAATTAATACTTATGGGTCAACTAAATTAATATAGTTAAAGAGCTATTCCTTTTTTTCTGTGTAGGTGCACTTCTCAAATATTTTTAGATAAACACCGTTTTGGTGTTTGCTGTATAAAACATTTTCAACCATAATTCATGGTGTTATATTAACACCACTTGGTGTTTTGGATTTTGACACCATTTTAAGATTACTCTTCACACCACAGATATTCTAAACAGTGTATTCATCAAACAATTTTTTGGCATTACCTGATCTCTTTCGTGGAATGTGTTCCACAGTTTTGTCACTATAAAGAGCTCGTCTCTTGTCACAGTCCCATCAGCGATTTTTTCCCTTATGCCCTGGCCTATTTCAGCCTCATTGCCATACAACATGGCACAATCAAAATACCTGTACCCGCAGTCGATTGCATGCTTTACAGCTTTTTGTACTTCTCCTGGTGGGGACTGAAAATGCCATAAAATTAATATATTTCACAAAAACAAGATAAAAATAAAATAAATATGACCTTTAAATTATTTGATTGAATTTCAATGGCTTCATTAGCATATATAAATAAATGTACAAATAATACCTATACACAGTAAAAAAAATCAACTCTAAGCAACACTAATTAGAGTTCACACAGGTCCACACTAAATAGTGTTGTTTTATAACACTACAATTAGAGTTAATTTGTAGTGTAATTTTCCCCAAGTAAGCAAGTATGATTTAACACTATAGCACTGAGGATAAAGTAATTTACACTGCATTAAAAAGTGTTAATTTACCTAAAATCGTGTACTTCTACACTTCCTGGGTAAAATCCCTCTTTTGTTCAGTGTAAATTAACACTACTTTGGAAAGTTCTAATTTTAGAAAGGTACTTTTACTATTTTAGTGCAAACTTATATTGTAAATTAACACTATTATTTGAGTAAAACCTATTGGTGGTAGTGAATAAAACGAAAAGGTAAATAAAGAGAAACATTTATTTGAAACAAAAGTCTATGACAATAATTATTATCAAAATCGGTGCCTTTTAAAATATGATTTTATATTTGATCCTATGGCTGGCTTAAGCAAAATGGTTCCTTAAAAGTTTTTTGATCAATGCAATGTTTTACTGGCTGTCAACTTGTAAGCAATGAATTATCTTGAGAATTCATCAGTATTCCATTTTTCTGTTATAAAAAATGAGTGATCTCATTGGTAGAGAGGTGTCAGGCGGCTGTATGTCGTGGATTTACCACACGTGTACAAATTTTTCATATTATTAATAAAAATGTAGGTATAGGTTAATATAACAACCATTACGCTTGAAAATAAAAAGTAAATCAAGTGTGTATGTATTTATATTATTAATGTTACAAGTACCCGACCTACTGCCGTAAATTATTGATATATAATATAGGTCGGGTATGGACATCCTTTTAACATATTGGTATTTATTGAGTATTAAGGCTTAAAGAAAAAGGAAGTATAATACTTGCCAAAAAATAAGAATGTCCCCTTATGGATTTACCGTAATTAAAATCTAACTGAACAAAAATGCCACACTTTCACAACGCGGTATCTCCGGATATGCACTGCGTAGGTAGATAGGTACCAACCAAACATTTTAAAACGCATTTCGGTTATTACCAGTTTTTTCAGTCTATTTTTCCACTATTGGTGTAATTTAACTTTAATTGTGATACAATGTGCAAGTGTAAAGAAAAAAGAGCTCTTAGTAACATCAAAACAAACAAAGAAATTGACATGCAGTGTAGTGTACATTTTGTCACTATTTAACACATTAAGGGGTAATAAACACTACCCTTTTGATTTATTTTAATAATAAATAGTGTGAATGTACCAATGAATAACGTTCATATTCTTTAAATGTGTTTAATAAAGTTAATAAGCACTAAATGCCACCTAGTGTATTTTGTAGTGTAACTTTTACACTTACAAATCAACTCTAATATTTTTACCCTTACACTAAAAAATTTACACGGGCAAAATTTTTTACTGTGTACTAACTGAGATATTTCAAAGTTTTAAGTTAAATGACTCACACTGTATATATAATATTTCAAGCGAATTAAACAATTCTTGGCTGCTTGTGTTCGTAAATAAATGAGTAAAGGGTTTGAACTTACAAGCCATGTTCCCAGTCCTAATTGAGGGCACTTAACATCATTACTTAGAATTACTGTTGGAGCTTTAGCCATTATCAACTACACTGCTCGCAGACTAGCTCTGTAATACGTGTTGATTTTTTTTATCAATTATACAATCACCGAACGATTTCAAGGTTAATTGATCATTCAAATATATTTGTGGTTTATGCATTCTAATTAATAGCTCGTTTTGTGTTGCCTACATTGCAAAACTAAGCGTCATAGAAAATCTCAAGAAAAAAACTTATTTCCGTTCGTAGCAATATTTTCATTTCCTCTTCGAACAAACTGCATTGAGATTACTCGAAAATTACACAAGTAAAACTAATAACAAAGAATGAGGAGTTGTTATTGAAGTAAATGCATTCGACGCGAACTTCTATCGGAAATTGAAAGGACGATGTCTAGCAAAAATAATTTCCCATTTCACATAAAAGAGCACACCATAACACGTTATAGAACTGAATGACATTCTAAAATTGATATTAGCTAGTTTTTAGATCTTAAATCTGGGGGAAAATGATTTTCTTGGGGTAGATAAGTTAAAACGTGCCTTGAGCTATGTATGTACACACTGCAGTTGCAACTTTATGCTGGTATTTTGCTATTAAAGTTTCTGTTACATACATACAAACTGTACTGTCTGTCAATTTAATACATTTAAAGCACAATACATTTAAAGCACAGATTATTTATCATTTTTAAATAAATATGTAGTCTTACTCGACAAATTTCATTCAATGGCACAGCTAAATCGCGCACGTTATTTGTGTTTTACGTTGCAAGGAAAAAATTAAAAAACTTTTTTAGTACTCGATTTCGATTGATTATTCCTTATATCATTGATTCCAATAGAGCCTGCGAATATTTCTATAACACTTTGTACACTATATTTGATGAATGGGTTCCTACTTATAAAAATAATGTCAAGCGTAAATATCCTCTTTGGTTTACACCCCAGATTATTCAAAATATCAAGACCAAGGAATTTTATCACAAAAAGTATAAAAAAAACTGGTAATGTGTGTTTTTATAATGAATTCAAAAGAATGCGAAGTCCTATTAATAGAGACACCTCAATTTCATTTACATCATATCTTAACCTAGCTGCTTCCAGATTGAAATATGATCCAAAGCAATTTTGGACATTTATTAATCAAAAGAAAGGTACATCAGTACCGGGAAATATGTTTTTTGATAATAATACATATGAAAATCCTATTGATGTAGTGAATGGATTTGCAATTTTTTTGTTTACGTTGAAACAGTTAATGATATTAGTTTAAATGTAGAAAATTTGGGTATCAATAACCCTCTTATTCATATTAATAAATTTTCTTTAAATGATATTGAAAAGTCCATAAAGAAACTAAAAAATAATAACACTAGCGGTTGTGATCAGATTCCCAGTTTTCTTATAAAGGATTGCCTGCCCATTTTGAGTAGTCCGCTATTGTATATCTGTAATGTCATTATTTCTACTAGTAAATTTCCTGATATGTGGGAAAAAACAAGGGTAGTTCCGGTACATAAATCAACTCAACATGCATAAACGTTCCACAGTTACGAACCTACCAGAGTTTACTCAATTTGTGGCTCAAAAAATGGATATTGGTAAACAGAAGGCCTTCGATAGGGTTGATCATACTGTCTTGTTAATGAAGCTGAGATCATTTATTTCACTCCTATCTTGTTAATTGTCAATTATTTGTGACCTACAATGGTTTTGGTTCCGATAGTTTTAGTCCAGGCTCTGGAGTACCTCAGGGTTCTAACCTGTGTCCCTTATTATTTGTCCTTTTTATCAATGATATTTCCAATTTTGTAAAGTGTCAACATTTGATTTTTGATGATGACTTGAAATTGTTCGTTGATTTTGCACAAACATAACCTTAAAATCAACCATTTTTATGTTTGATTTCTCTAAAAAACACCGACAACTGCATTTTAAACAACCAAATATACCTACGAATTCATGGCAACATAATATTATATATAATAAATAAAATAATGGTATTTTACCGTTGAGTGGAGACTTTCTTAATCAACGCTTTTAATAATGCTAAATGCTGTTTAAATTTAGACGACTTATTTGTTTGACGATTTTTACTGAATTGAAATGTTTACACTTTTCACGTTAATCACTACTAAAATGTGTATTTATTGTATCTTATAGGTACAATTTATATTTACAGAGACTGTATGCAGTTTATTTCTTTATTCAGATTAACACTGTTTATAGGAAAACCGGTAAAAACTCAACCCAGGATTTCCTCTCGAAATACACCCAACAACACAACAAATCGAGCCACGGTTTTTTTTCGATATTTTTTTAAATATTTTCCGGCTTTATTTTCATTATTTTGTCGCACATTAAAATATGGAATGTTTTCTTTCAAAATTCATGTTTTAATGCGAAAAGAACATATTTATTTTTTCACCCTCTAATTAACTAGCTAATTAACTAACCTAATTTTAACTTTAAATTGGCAGAAACTAACTTTTTTTGGTTTGGTGTTTGAGAATGTATGGAGGAATGTAAAAGGCGGAGAAAACGAGCGCCCCAATATTAATATTTCATTAACCGATGTAATGGGAATTCGGCATCAAAATGAAACAGGTGAGAAGAGACTGAAATAACTTGAGAGATTCCATCCCAAGCGGGATCGCGACGACGTTATAATAAAAAGAGGGGCGCGCATTAAAATTTCAGGAATTAATTCCGTCATGTCTTATAATCTGTTCGCGCCACAATAAACTCCCATATACGCGACGCTAATGCGATATTATTAAATACGCAGCTTCGCCGCAGCTGAAAACCAGAAAACCGAATAATTCGCAACCCCAAGGATACGAATTACGTTCTTATGAAGTTTCCAAGGACGTAGCCAAATATGTTAATCCAAGCCAAAAACGAATACTTATCCACATTAGGATGGTACAAAAAAAAGTTTCAAATATTAGTAAAATTAAAAAAAAAATGCTATCTAAACTAGATTTAACTTAATTTCGGGAGGAGACATTTTCTTTACTTTCACTGTGAAAAAATTTGACATAATTTTTAGATAAAAATAAGTATTTGTAGAAAAAGTATAGTATGCAACTCGTTTATAGACTTTTATAGACACTCATTTAATTAAATAATTAATTTCATAAGATACTTAAAATAGCACAATAATAAGAATGGTAACATTGTCAAAATAGTACTTAAATCATATATCATATTTTTTAAATAACATTTAAACTTATTAAACGATAATTAAAATCGTCAATATTGTAGTTACTTAAAAAACTTAAGCTGCTTTTACGTTACTTAAAATTGTTAAAACGATACTTAAAATTAATAAAATAGGACCTATTGTCAAAAATCGTCGTAATAATACTTACATTTATTTATAAGTTGCTTACAATTTTTAAAAAGTACTCAAAATCAATAAAATAATCCTTAAAAACAAAGTAGTACTTATATCATATATCACTTATTTTTAAAATAATTATTTATTATAATTTTTAAAACGTTAATTTAAATCGTCAATATTGTACTGAATTTTTATAAAATACTTAAACTGCTTTTACGTTACTTAAAATTGTTAAAACAGTACTTAAAATTAATAAAATAGTACTAAATCATCGTAAATCGTCATAATAATAGTACTTAAAATCATATATCACTTATTTTTTAAATAACATTTTAACTTTTTAAACGATAATTAAAATCGTCAATATTGTAGGTACTTAATTTTTATAAAATACTTAAACTGCTTTTACGTTACTTAAAAATTGTTAAAACAGTACTTAAAATTAAAAAAATAGTACCTAATCGTCAAAAATCGTCATAAATAATAAAAATTTTAAAAAGTACTCCAAATCAATAAAATAATCCTTAAAATCAAAGTAGTACTTAAATTATATATCACTTATCCCTTAAAACTAATAAAATAGTACTTAATCTTCAAAAATTGTTGCTTACAATTGTTAAAAAAGTACTCAAAATCAATAAAATAATCCTTAAAACCAAAATAGTATATAGATATATTACTTATTTTTAAAATAAGTATTTATTATAATATTTAAAACTATTTAAACGATAATTAAAATCGTCAATATTGTACTTAATTTTTATAAATACTTAAACTGCTTTTACCTTACTTAAAATTGTTGAAACAGTACTTAAAATTAATAAAATACTTAGTACTTAATCATTTAAAATATATATAATATTATTTAAATTTATTTATAAGTTGCTTACAATTTTTTAAAAAGTACTCAAAATTAATAAAATAATCCTTAAAACCAAAATAGTACTTATTTTTAAAATAATTATTTATTATAATATTTAAACTTTTAAACGTTAATTAAAATCGTCAATATTGTACCTACCTAATTTTTTATAAAAATTTTAAACTGCTTTTACGGTACTTAAAACTGTTGAAACAGTACTTAAAATTAATAAAAATAGTACTTAATCATCAAAAATCAAATCAAAATAAAAATAGTTAAATTTATTTATAAGTTGCTTACAATTGGTAAAAAATTACTCAAAAGCAATAAAATCCTTAAAATGGTAAAAATGATATTTAATAATCAAAAATCTTTTTAATGATACTTAAATTGTTTAAAAATGGCTTAATATTTTAAAATAAAACTAAAATCGTTAAAGTAAAACTTAATCATAAAAAATCGTTATAAGCACTTAATTTGTTTAAAAGCAGCTTGAAATCTTTAAAATGTCATTAAAAACTGTTTAAAGTAACTTGAAATGATCAAAATAGTACTTAAATCATATATAAAATTGTTAAAATTCATTTCGTGTCTAAAATGGCGTTTATCAAACTTGATACATATTTTATAATATACTATTAGCAGGGTAAAATTAAGACACAAGGTGGCATAAACTTTATAATTTTAATAAGGAAAACCTCTGCATTATTTGCAGCAAGAAATTGCATTCATTCAATTTTCCTTGCTGCAAGTTGTCGAGAAAATTCACTTTGTACTTACCTAAGTCAATTGTGAATCTGGCGGAAATTTTATTATGCTTATGATGTAGAAATAAATTCGCTGCTTGTTGTAGTTGTTTTGAGCGAATTAGTGCAACTTT